AAAAAAACTTGTATAAATTCTGCAACATTACAGAACCCCCCAAATAGATTAAACTATTGCAAATAGGGTGATCTATTTCAAAGGAATGGTGAAAGAATTTGTACATAACTTTAGGGAAAAGAGTATAGGGATCTTTGGTTAAGACGTGAAGAAAAACAAGCATGTTATAATATATAAGTTCAATTAGAGAAAATTAATAAAACATTTTATAAAAAAAAAAAATGGGGAAATGGTGTCTTGAGGGTCTCAAATCCGCAAAACGCATGGGTTATGGGTAGTTGGCATGTCACCGCCCAGACGATGTTTCGGCAAAGCAGCGTACTACAACCCCTGGGACGTTACCATGCCACCATAACCACACACGGGGAAATGAGTCTCAAGACGGGGGTGGGGATTAATATTCAATAAAATGAAACAAAAATGTGCATCAACACATTAAACAATATTTTTTAACAAAAGAAAAATCAAAATAATATACATTATAACATTATGAAGACTCATATGGAATTTTAGAAAGAGAAGGAATATACTTTTTTAGATGGACTATGTTTTAAGAGGAAAGGCTGGATAAATGTTAAGCTTAAAAAAATTTTCAGGAAGTATAGAAGGGTCGGGGGGAATAGGTTCTTCAAAATCAAAATGCATTATAGCGGGAAGATCTAAAGGAGTTTGGTATTGACTATCTATGGGATGACGGGAGAGAGTATCAAGGGGATTTTCTTTTCCAGGACAATCTTGAAAACTATGTGAATATTTATTGATTAATGAGTATATTAAATATTGATGTTTATTGTTAAGGAGCATATCATCAAGAGCACAGTTTTTTGTTGAAGGGAAAGGATAAGAATGTTCAGCATTAAAATTAGTTTGGGTAGACAGAGAATCTTTAAACAAATTATTGAAAAGAGTGGATGGAAGGGTTGGTTGACTAGGAAAAGTTGAATGGGGATCAGTATCAAATTGTTTGGGTTGAGGGGAAAAAATGGTAGAAGACATTTGAGGGCCAAAAGAGAATCTAAGTTTTTTGGGATTTTCAGTTTCAATATGAGGTTTTTGAGATAAAGGAGGCATTACATTAGGGTCAGGAATATATAATGGAAGTTTTTGGACAGAGGTTTCAAAGGCAGCTAGCCCAGCAGCTTGACCTTCAACTAAGGATAAGCGTTCTGATAAGTTAGACATGTCGGATTTTAATTTGACTCAGATATCCGAAATTTTATTATCTGTGTAGGATTTGCATTCTGCCTTGCTACGTTCAAGTAATTGTAATAATTTAGTATTGATTTTGGTCATGTCTTTTTTAAGGTCAGAAAAAGAAGTTTGGCATTGACGTTGGGATTCTTCGAATTGTTTTTTAGAGTCAGCATGGAAATCAATTAAAAGGGAACGAAGGTCAGAATTAGGATCATCATGAGGTGGAGAGGTGGAACGAATAGTATTATTATCCTCGTTGTCAGACATATTAAGAGATAAATCAAAAGTAGGTAATATGGAAGGAGGGGGATAGGAAACACTAGGATTATATCTGTCAGGAACTTTTGTTTGTCTTTTTCCTGCACCTTTCATTAAAAATGGTAATAAAAAAAAATTACTATAATAAAATTTATATAACAGATAGAAATATTTAATAGAAAGTTTACTCTATAAAATAATTAACTAAATGAAAATGTATTTAAATTGTTCAAAGAAAAAGTTAAGGGAAGGAAAATTAACTAATTATTAAAACATGAAATTATCATAAGATACAAAAGAATTAAATTTACAAATTAGCTAAAAAGAAAATTTGATCAAAAGGATCAGCCAAATAACAAATTTGACTAATTAAATTATACTAGTTAAATTATAAGGAGATTTACTAGGAATTTATTAAATAAGAGATTCAGTTACAAAATAATGGATAGTATTGACCAAACAATAGTCAAACTAATAAAAGATTAATTCAAAAGAAAAGGATTAATTAAATGAACTAATATTTACATTAAATTTAACTATATAAAAAGTAAATGTACAGGTAAAAGGTAATAAGAACACCTCAAATAACAAAATTGGATTAAATATACAGTTTAACCAGAATAATATATGATTAAATAAAATTTAACCAGACAGTTTAACTTAAAAGGAGTATTAAGAGAAAGAAAGAACAAAAAAAATCTATAAAAGTTCAACAGCAGGATTAAACAAAAACAATTTAAAAAATAAGGATTTGAACTAACAGAATTTAACTAAAATAAATTTGTTAATCAAAATAATAAACTGGATTAATCTAATAAATTAATAAAAAGATAAATGGTTGACAGAAGTCAATGTTAATATAACAAGGGTCTGTGTTAAAACAGCAAACACCAAGTAAAAATATGTTGACAAGCAACTAAGTAACTATAAGAGTTAAGAGGAGAGGTTATAAAAACCGTGGATAGCACAAATATATAAATATAAGGATATCAAATAATATAGGTTATGGCCTTAGGTGGGTCACACTGTATCTCAAGTACATTTTCAATCAACAACAATATTCAATAGAAACAAAAATATAAATAATCAGAGAAAAAGGGAAAATGAAGGGAGGAGTGGTGTCATGAGGGCCTCAAATCCGCGAAACGCATGGGTTATGGTTAGTTGGCATGTCACCGCCCAGACGATGTTTCGGCAAAGTAGCGTACTCCAACCCCTGGGACGTTACCATGCCACCATAACCACACACGGGGAAATGAGTCTCATGACGGGAGAGGGAAGTGTGGGGAGTCAAAGTTAAAACTGAAATAACAAGGAGTATTAATGCACCATTACAAAGTTCTAATAATATTTAAATATGGTCATGAAAAAAAAAAAAAATATATAAGAATGGAGATTTAATAGGGAGAATGAAGAAAGAGAGATATTTTAAATAAGAATAATGGCTAATAATGGCTAAGCAAAAGGTAAAATATAGAGAAGTTTTTCAATATTCAATATAAGGATTAGGGGAAATGGGCATACTAGTATCACTAACCACCAATTATTGGTGATGGCAGACAAGTTACTATATTGAAAATTAACTAGGTTTTCACAATGTTACACCACTACTGTTGTTTAAAAGGGGGACATGATCCTGAGCACAATGTCATACATAAAAAGAGGAAGGGAGAAGAAAGTTAACCCATAAAAATTAAAGAAAATTAAGTAAAATATAAGAGATCACTTTAAATTCAACTTGTATGTGCATAGATAGGGCAAGTAAATAAACAAAACAATTATAAAGTAAAGGTTACTTGGGCATCATTAATGATAGTACCAAACAAAAGACATGTCAACTGATCCAATAACCATACACCAATCCATCAAACACTGTACCGTACAACATATGCTAAAAAAATTTATGGGATTAACAAACATAATATAATGGGGGAAAACAAAATTAAAAATGGTGGATATTACCTGTATAGGTATTACAACAGTAGGGTTTGCACAAGGAAATAAAGGAGTAGGGAGTCAAAGGTATATATTTCATTTTTTTTTTTTTCAATTTTTATAGCCAAAATTCAAATTTTTTTATTATATTATACATGTTTTTAAATAAAATTTAGGGGAGGGTCCTGTCACGGTCGCCATGTGTAAGGTTTCAGCCAAACAGAGGGCCTACTAATTACCCACTGCCCAGGGGGAACACTGGACAGTGACCTAGTAGCCGCGCCAAACAAGATATTACTTGCTGACGGAGCTACTAGGTTTTGATAAAAAAAAAAACCAATATTAATAAAAATGAGGGAAAAGTATAGAGAATAAAAAAAGAGGCCATGTA